TTATATATATATATATATATATATATATATATATATATGACTCTACTGTCTTTCTTTTTCTTACTGTTTGATTTCGCCTACCTCACTATTTTTTGGTAACGTTTTTTTCTTATTCTCTTGTCCTTTTTATTTTTATTTTTTTCATTTGGTGCTATATTTTGGTTACTACAGCGTATGTGTTCTCTCCCACCTTCGTTTATTCTTGTAATTTGTATTCTTTCCGGTGTCTTCGTCGTGTGCTTGTTTTATGCGTTTAGGCGGCAAAGTAATGATTCTACGTGGGATGGACAAATAAAATCGCCCTCTGTATCTGTATGTATGTAGGTAGGTATGTATTTTTCCGCGTTATTAGTTTTTTCATTTTCTTCTTTTTAAAGAACCCGTCGCAACGCGCTTGAAAGAGAGTGAGAGCGAGAAAAGATAAAAAACAATATATATATATTTCTGTGAAACGAAAACGGTGGGAAAGAGGAATAACGTATGATAGCTTCTGCAAAAAGGAGAACAAATTTGAAAAGAACCCCAAGTAAATAATAACACCTGTCAAATATGCTACATCGAAAACACGCCCATCACTCCTTCTTTTTTTTTCTTTCTTGTGTGTGTGTATTTTCTCCGTCTTGGTGCACAGTAGAACGCGTTTTTGACGATAAGTTTCGTACGCCTTCTGAGCTACCATCAGCAAAGGAAACAGAATAATAATAATAATACTTACAAAAAAAAAAACGACAACATTTTTTTTAACTGCGGCAGTTGGGGTTCCAAGTACGTCATACTTCTGTGAAAGGAGACGAGAAATTCTAAACGGTTGTTTACTTTTTATTTGAAAACGAGGCAATTCTTCGCCATTTGTTTTCTGCTGTCCGTTCACTTCTTCCATACACACACATATATATATACTAATGTATATGCTTGTTTTTTCTCGTGACGAAGTTTCGCTGGAACGCGCCACTTAAGTTGTCGGTACGCAGCAACAACATCTTTTTTTAAAGCTGTTATTGGCTTTCTCTTTTTTTCTTTTTTTTTCCTTTTCTCCTTTTATTTAATTACTTGCTTTTCTTGTTGGATTAACATACGCAGCTGCATGTGTGTGTGTGTGTGTGTGTCGGGCGAACAGTCAGCTTTTTCTACCTCTTTCCTTCTTTTTTTCCCTCTTCTTTGGTCTATTCTTTTGTTCATGACTATATATATATATATATATATATATATATATATATA